TGATCCCGCATGGGTCTGGCTTGTAGGAAATCTTGGTTTCCTAGGTGTGTCTGAGATGCTCTTACTGAAACAAAACAAAACAAAAACAAAACAACCGAAAAAAAAAACCCACCCAAAAAACACAAGAGCACAGCAGAGACCTGGGCACGCTGCTGTCTAGCACCTCTTGGGTGGTGGTTGCTTCCGTATGGCTCTCGACTTGTACCTAAAATATGCCAGACTCCCCGCGTGTTCCCAGCCAGCCAGGTGGGAAACCTGGATGTGAACGTTTTAAACACACAATCGATTTGGCTGCAAGACGGCGAGGTCTTGGAGGAAAGCAGGAGATGAAGCCTTAACTCCTGGAGGTCTCGCCTTTAGCGATGGTCCAAAACTCAAAGCTCCTGTGGCCCTCCAAGGGAGACACGATAAAGCAGGTATCTGCACCATTTCAGTAAGCTCTCTGCCTTTACAGCTCCTGGACTCTTAGTAAAGCGTCCAGCAGCGACCGCCGAGATGGCAGGAATTTTCCTTTTCCCTCTTAAATACCGTTTGGCTGGTTTTCGGCCAGGCTTTCTCACTGACGCTCGTGTGTGAGAAAGGAGCGAATGCTGTATCAAAGCAGCGATGGTTCCTGCTCCTCTTTCATTGAGAACTTTTCATCATCAAAAGTGTCAATTATCCAATGCACTTTTGGGCAGTGTCGTTAGAACGCTGTAATTAAACCGCGTTGGAAATAATCCAGGGCGAACTTAATTGAAAGGGGCAATATTTCCAACTTGGCCTTGTGACTTCGTCATGCTTTAAAAATGTTTAGCGCGTTAGTATTTCTAATTAGCTTCATTATTATGTGGATCTTTGGAGGTTTTCCCTGAGGTTTTCCTCTGTAGCGTGTTCTTGAGGAGTTTGCCGGCCCCTGGGATTTTTCGTTTTGCCATTCATCTGCCTCTTCCCCCAGGTGGAACTGCATCGTGACCACCCACGGCCCCCCTCCCATGGCGGGACACTCCTCCTGTGTCATCGAAGACAAAATGATCGTCTTCGGGGGTTCGCTAGGATCTCGGCAAATGTAAGTTCGGGGTGAGGGTGTTTGACAAGTGCTCCTGCAAGCGAGGAGCGTGTTGTGGTGGTCCCGGGGTAGCTCATAGCGTTTCGGAAGGAAATCTCCACAGGGTTTTGGGGTCTGCCTGCTGCCTTAGCACGCCCTTCGCCTCTCGTGGCGAATCCCCTTGAGGCTCCAGCCCGCGAAAAACCCAATTCTGCCATAAAACTCTGCCCTGAACCCGCGTTTCAAACGCCCCGAGGGTCTGCTTGTACCAGCGGTATCGTCAACACTTCTTGTCTCATCCTTGCAGGAGCAACGATGTCTGGGTGCTGGATCTCGAGCAGTGGGCTTGGTCCAAGCCCAACATCTCTGGGCCCAGCCCTCACCCACGAGGTGGCCAGTCTCAGGTGAGCTCTCCTTCGCTGGCTCAGCACCAACGCACGCCGCCAAAGATAAACCAGACACGGCTTAATTTCCAGCTTCCAGGCAGCTCTCTGCTGGTCGCCTGAAAGCTAGCGCCCAATTTCCAAGTTGTCTTTGCAGCCTTTGCCCGACAGGCCCATGTTTTCTCTAGCCATCTGTTCCGTGAGGGTGCACTTTTAATCTCCCTAACACTCGGGCAGGTACTGTGCCGTGTCTTGCACATGACTCAGAACTCTAATGAGCATTTCTAGGAAACAAATTGCTGTTTTCACCCAGCGATCATCCCCCGTGGCATTTAAGATCAATGAAGTGTTATCACAAGTTGGTTTGGCTTGGGGCCCTTTTGATTGTTCCGCTCTCCTGATTCTCGGTTCGAGCGACTCTGGCTTGTACCCGCTCAAAGCACGGGTCTGGCGGCGCCTGTTTTATTGCCTGCCCAGGGCAGGGAGCTCGTGGGAGTCGCCCGGCTCGATGCAGGTGTCTCCGTCGCAGCTGGCCTCCCTGCCTTCCCTTTATGGTCCCTAGGAGGCCGGTCAGTGGTACCCAGCGTGCATCATCTCAGCCTAGCAGGGCACCCGAAAGAGATCGGATGTGTCGTGCTCGAACGTGTCTTTCTCTCCATCCACTGGAAAAGGAGACTAAGGGACTAGCTCGCCCACCACCAGCATCTAACAAATATTGCTGCAAGCACGTGCCCTCCCAGACAGTCCTTCCACCTTCACCTCTTCACTAAAGAGGGGTGTCGAGTCCCTTGCCGTTTGGTTCAGCTTCAGAAAGGGTGATGGCTCGCCTCTGTAAGAGGAACGGGTTTGTGAGCCGTTTGGGACGAGGCAGGGGTGAACCCCGCATCCCGCTTTGCCCTGGGCCCGGCAAAACCAGCTCTCCATCCCAGCTCCACTCCTCATCCCGGGGCGGACAAAATTCGGCAGCGTCTGTGCGGCCGAGAAGCTGTAACCTGGCTCTGCCTGCACTTGGAGGCCTTGCTGAAAGCACTAGGGACCGCTTCGCGTCCATCCCGGTCTGAAACGCTGTTCTTTGTCCCCTCCAGATCGTGATAGACAACGAAACCATTTTAATCCTCGGTGGCTGTGGTGGTCCCAATGCAGTAAGTATCCTGGGGGGAGCGTGGGCGGGAACTGCACACGTCTGCTGTAACTGAGCCCAGGGTGCTGGACTGGGGAGAGGGGGGACTCTGCACGTTACCCAAGTGGCATTTTATCCTCCAAATCTGGGCACCCGCGTGGTAAATTTTCCAGAGAAGCTGCCTAGCTATCGCTAGAGATGCTTCAATTAAGAAGAAAGCACCCCAGGCGCTCTCTGAGCAGCTCGCCAATGTTAATTGAGCCTCGGAAGAATTAGCCCTGATTTTATACTGGGGTAGAAGATGGAGATGAAGGGATTTGTCCGTGGCCGTAGTAGGGTGTAGTCACTCCTGGGTGGTCAGATCCTGATCTGGGTCACCGTTCCTCTGTCTGCAGCAGCAAAGCACCGCTCCTACCTCTGATGGGACGATCTCAGCAGCAAACCGGGCTCCTAAATCTCAAACCGGGCTCCTAAATCTGTCACGCTTTTCTTCGCAGCTGTTTAAAGACGCCTGGTTACTGCACATGCACGCGAACCCCTGGACGTGGCAGCCGCTCAAGGTGGAGAACGAAGACCACGGAGCCCCAGAGCTGTGGTGCCATCCTGCCTGCAGGGTACGGCCGCGGTGGGGTCTCTGCTCTCTCATACGCATCCGTTGATCTTTATTGCCTGCCCAGAATGCTCCGTACCCCCCCTATTTTTTCCCCCCAATACAGCGCAAAGGATCATCCTGCAGTTCGTAACCTGTTACGTCCCCTTCTCTTCTTCCAGGTGGGACAGTGCGTCGTGGTCTTTAGCCAAGCTCCCAGCGGGAGAGCCCCGCTGAGTCCCAGCTTGAACTCTCGCCCCTCTCCCATCAGCGCCACGCCGCCCGCCCTGGTCCCCGAAACGCGGGAATACCGCTCTCAGTCTCCCGTCAGGAACACGGACGAGGCTCCTTGCGTCAACGGCCGCTGGGGCACCTTGCGACCCAGAGCGCAGAGGCAAACCCCCTCGGGATCCCGGGAAGGCAGCCTCTCCCCAGCCAGAGGGGACAGTTCCCCTGTACTCAACGGTGGGAGTTTGTCGCCCGGACCCACGGCAGCCGGTGGTGCCTCTCTGGACAGCCCCGTGCAGGTCCTATCGCCCAGCACGCCTTCCGCGGCTGAAGGATACGACCTAAAAGTGGGGCTCGCCCTGGCGCCGCGACGGGGATCGCTGCCGGAGCAGAAAGACCTGCGTTTGGGATCCGTCGACCTGAGCTGGGAACAGAAACCGGCTTCCGTCATCTGCCAGATGGACGGTGTGGAGGGGGGGACAGTCGGCGCCGGCGGGAGGAGCCCCCCCCCGCAGA